AGAATTATCGTCATCATCAGCAGCAGCATCATCGTCGTTATCAGCATCATCATCATCACCATCATCATCATACTTTTCATCGTAATCCTCCTCATCCTGGTCATCATCCACATCCTCATCCTCATCCTCATCCTCACCCGCTGCCTCATCCTCATCCTCATCCGCATCCGCATCCTCATCCCTATCTCTCATCCATCAGCCTCATCCTCATTGCCATCCTCATCTTCACCAGTATCATCACAATCGTCATCATCAGCAGCAGCGTCATCAGTAACATCAGCACCATCATCAGCATCACCATCGTCATCAGCATCATCTTCATAATCTTCATCACCATACTCGTCAGCATCATCAGCATCATCGTTGCCATCATCATCAGCATTGTCATCATCATCATCATCATCATCATCACCATCATCACCTTCATCATCATCATCATGAGCATCATCATCATAAGTATCATCACCACCATCTCTTTCCCCCATCGCTCCTCCTGATGCTCCCCACCCTTCTCCTCCTCGAGCTCTAGCTCCAGGGAAAAGGAGAAGCGACACCGCCACCACCAGAGCCCAGGGGGACCCTCCAGGTGGTATGGAGCCCCCCGTATCCCGCTTGAGACATCCCCGATCCTCAGCTCGGGGAGGCATCGTGGGACCTCCGCGCTGGAGATGGCTACGGTGGAGGTGTCGCTCTGCTTTCCTCCGAATCCTCGCCCTCCTCCTCCACGAAGCGGAGAGAAGACCATCAGAGGAGTCACGGCGGGCTCTGGCAAGATCTGGCGAGCTCAGAGGGGGAGAGGTCACTCGGCCCCCGGCGCGATGTGGAGGAACGAGAAGGCAGGGAGGGAAGAATTGGGCACGCACGGAAAAGATGCACAATGCCCCATCGCATCGCTCACTTGGAGCCCCGAAACGGGGCGGCGACAGACCGTGCGGTGACCTCGAGAGCCCCCGAGACGTCACCGCACGGCCCGTCAGCGCACGGTGTTGGGACCTCGGAGGCCCCAGCCTCAAAGGGCCCTGGGACACACAAATAAATACACACACACACACACAAATAACAGGATTCCCCACATTCTCCCATATTTTTGGGGCTGTCGTCGTCTCCCCCCCACTTTCCATATTTTCCCAGATTTTCTTGGGAATCGACGATCCATTGTGCCTGTGTGTGTGATTTTCCCCTCCGGACAACCGCCCGAAGCGCCCTCCGGAGAACGGCCCGCGTCCCGAGACCGTGCGGCGGCCCCGACTCCCCCCCCGCCTCACCGCGCGGCGTGACCACCGCCCCGTCTGGGGGCCCCCGACAATTGTATACCGCTTCGAGCGATCCCTGGGGATGACCTGCGGGAGGAGGAGGAGGAGGCGGAGGAGGAGGCGGAGGAGGAGGGGGAAGTAGGAGGAGGAGGAGGAGGAGGCGGAGGAGGAGGAGGAGGGGGAAGTAGGAGGAGGAGGGGGAAGGAGGCGGAGGAGGAGGAGGAGGCGGAGGAGGAGGCGGAGGAAGAGGCGGGAGGAGGAGGGGGTGGAAGCAGGAGGCGGAGGAGGCGGAGGGGGAGGCGGAGGAGGAGGCGGAGGAGGAGGGGGAAGGAGGCGGAGGAGGAGGAGGCGGAGGAGGAGGCGGAGGAGGAGGGGGTGGAAGCAGGAGGAGGAGGGGAAGGAGAAAAGCTCTGGCTGGCGGCCGCGGTAGGTCGCCATCCGTCGAAGGCACGAGGCGGGATGCCCGGGGAGCACCAGCACACCCTGGGCCCAGCGGCCGCGGCAGGCCGGGTGTGCGAGGCGGGTCGGAAGCCTCTTTCCTTAAATCTGACATCTTCGACCTGTCGGGGGATGGGGCCCAGGGGGGAGTCCTTTTCCTCCTCCTTCTCCTCCTCCTTCTCCTCCTTATCTCCTTGCCTCCTCCTCCCCTCCTCCTCCTCCCCTCCTCCTCTCCTCCTCCTCTCCTCCTCCTCCTCCTCCTCCTCCCTCCTCCTCCTCCTCCTCCTCCTCCTCCTCCTCCTCCCCCTCCTCCTCCTCCTCCTCCTTCTCTCCCTCCTTCTCCTGATCTCCTCCTCCTCCCTCCTCCTCCTCCTCCTCCTCCTTCCTCCTCCTCCTCCTCCTCTCTCCTCCTCCTCCTCCTCCTCCTCCTCCTCCTCCTCCTCCTCCTCCTCCTCCTCCTCCTCCTCCTCCTCCCCCTCCTGGTCGTCGTCGATGTCTTTCAAGGCCGGCGGCACCAGCCGTCAGGCCTTCACAATCTAACAACCTCGACCTGTCGGGTGGGGGGCAGCAAATATCATGCAAAGCTGGCAGCGGCCGCTGTTGGGCAGGCGGTTGTCCGCAAGTGGACAGCGACCGCGTCGGCAGCGACAGCAGACGCTAGTCGAGGTGGACGCGAACCGCTCTCGGTCTTCGCCCCAATTCGTAGAAGAACAAACACCAGCAAAAAACTTCAGAAACATCGACTCTCGAAGGTCTGCGCAGATTTCTTGGATCTGCGCTGGACCCCGCTCCCTGGCGCGCGGAGCGTGCCAGGGGCGGCGCCCTGGGGCGCCGCCAGGGGGGTCCAGCGCAGATCTCGGAAATCTGATCGCAGCTCCGAACAGTTAGGTCTACGTCGTCGTCTCTTATTCGTTAACTGCTGCCGACCTTCGTCGCCACCATTTCCGTCTCTACGTCGGGCCCTCCGATCCACATGGGGGGTGGACAGTATGTGCAGGAGACGACTCCCCTGGCCAAGAGAAGGTGGACAGCTTCAAGGCGGGCAAGGTAGAAAGTGGACAAGCTCAAGGGCGTCTGGGCCCTCGGATTCCCCGACCTTCGATCCTGTCCAAGGCTGACAGGAACTGCTGCCGGCCTGAGTCCTCACCTGACCAGCCACGACCAGGAGAGCTGAACCTCCACTAGGGGGCCACATGCGAACCCTACCCCTACCCCTACCCCCCCACGACTTCCGAGGGGGAGGGTGGGTATCACTTCGTTCGGGAGCTCCCGAGCGAAGTAAACCCCACCCTCCCCATCAGGAATCGTGGGGGGCAGGGGTAGGGTTCGCATGTGGCCCCATATCCACGCCCAGCTGGGAGAGCACATCGCACCGACGATCTCCCGAGAGGGGACCGAAGCCCACGGGCCCCCCAGGGGGGGGGGAGCAGGACTGCGCCCCCCCCCCCATTGCGACTGTTATTGCACGCTGCACGGACTGCGACCCTCGAATCGACGACGCCTTTCGAGTGAAAGCAGACTCAGGCGAGGAACATCGAATCGACGACGCCGTTCGAGTGAAAGCAGACTCGGGCGAGGCCGCCTGGCAACACCCGGTCGAGGAGGCAGGCGAGCGGTGCGGCCGATCGGGCCACCCTTGCCCAGGGTGCGCCGACGAGGGGGATGTCAGGACAAGGGCGGGAGCGCATCCTGGCCCGAGGCATGTGCGCGGACGGGGGGCGGGGGCCAAGGAACGCGATGGAAGAAGAAGGGGGCGCCAGGAAATCTGGGAGATGCCATGGTCCCCAGCCATGATGTCCACACAAACACACAACCCCAACCATCGACGCCCTATGGCTTCCAGGTCATAACTCAGGCCTCTGGCGGCCGTTCGGGGGCGATTCTCGCATCCAGCGGGGAGCTCTCGACGAGGCACACCTGGTGGAGAGCATTCAGAGGCGAGAAAGCCTCCAAGAACCAACGGAAGCGTCCCATCCCCCTCCCCTCGGCAACAGAAAAAATACCTAAACTCTCTAGTCCTTGGGCGCTCCCGATTTCCGCCCCCGTGCCAGCTTCCCGAAGGCCGATCAGGGTGCTGGTGCGCCATTGTGAGGTTCCCGCAAGACTGAAGCTGCTGGAATGGAAGGGGCCCCGACGTCCGAACACCACAGGAGACGCAATGAAGCTTGCAAGCGCCGTCCATCCGAGATCCTCTTCCTCCTCTTCCTCTTCCTCCTACTCCTCCTACTCCTCCTTCCTCCTTCCTCCTTCCTCCTTCCTCCTTCCTCCTTCCTCCTTCCTCCTTCCTCCTTCCTCCTTTCTCCTTCCTCCTTCCTCCCTCCTCCCTCCCTCCTCCGTCCTCCCTCCCCCCTCCTCCCTCCTCCTCCTTCCTCCTTCCTCCTCCCTCCTCCTCCTCCTCCCTCCCTCCTCCTCCTCCTCCTCCTCCTCCTCCTCCTCCTCCGCCTCCGCCTCCGCTCCGCCTCCGCCTCCGCCTCCGCCTCCGCCTGCGCCTCCGCCTCCGCCGCCTCCGCCTCTCCGCCTCCGCCTCCGCCTCCGCCTCCGCCTCCGCCTCCTCCTCCTCCTCCTCCTCCTCCTCCTCCTCCTCCTCCCCCTCCTCCTCCTCCTCCTCCTCCTCCTCCTCCTCCTCCTCCTCCTCCTCCTCCGCCTCCGCAGCCATTTCCCGCCCGAGGGCGCCTGGCCGCCGGGGCGCGCTGCGGGCGTTGAGGCGGCAAACTTGAAAATGACCCCGCCGCCGCGAGCCAGGGGTGTAGATGTGGGGGGAGTGTGACTCGAAAGAGGTGGACCACGGCGATGGGCTGGATGTGTCGTCGGTCAAAACTGCTGTGGGAGGCGGAGGTGGACATGGCGCAGCCGTCAGTCCACCAGGTGGACATGCACGCGGAGTCCGCCCAGTACATCGGGCCCGAGCTCTTATGTGAGAAATCGTAAACAGGACCGCATTTGCCGTCGTTTGGGAAGGAAGGCGCCGAGGTCATTACGCATGTATTCTCGGTGTTCTGGCTTACCCCATTCCACGACACAAGTTCATGGTGAGGGCCGTTTACGGCAATCTTGCAGCGAGGATGACATCATTCTTTATTGTGCTCTTTGCCTTCATGTGTCGTTTGTTCCATGGGAGTGGTAAGTCCTCCCGTCGCTTTGGGTTGGTGCTAACTCCGAAAAGAACAAAAGAATGAGGCGAAAAGCAACAGGAGGAGGTTTGGGGTGAACCGAGAAACCCCTGTTTCGGAATGGGTGCTTGGCCCGCTGTATCTCGAAGGCGCGTCAGTGGCCAAGGTGGTGCTGCTGGGATGGAGCGCCCCAACGAGAATGCTAGAGCACCCTGTGCAGCAGAGCAGCCGCCTGTTGTATAAGAGTGCCCCGTCGTTTGGGCCCCTTTCACGAAAGGCCCCACGGGTGGACAAGGAAATTGCCCAACGAAGTAGTCCTCCGCCTCCGCCTCCGCCACCGCCTCCTCCTCCTCCTCCCCCTCCTCCTCATCCCTCCCCCTCCTCCTCCTCCTTCCTCCTCCGCCTCCTCCACATCAACCTTCTCCTCCACCTCCTCCTCCTCCTCCTCCTCCTCCTCATCCGCAACAGCCTCAGCATCATCATCATCATCATCATCATCATCATCATCATCATCATCATCATCATCATCATCATCATCATCATCATCATCTTCATCCTCCTCCTCCTCATCCTCCTCCTCCTCATCATCATCATCATCATCAGCAGCATCATCATCACACCATCATGTTCATAATCATCATCGTCATCAGCATCGTCATCATCAGCATCATCATCATCATCATCATCATCATCATCATCATCATCATCATCATCATCATTATTATTATCATCATCATCATCATCATCAGCACCACCACCAGCATCAGTATCAGCATCATCATCATCATCAGTATCATCAGCATCATCAGCATCAGCATCATCATCAGCATCATCAGCAGCATCATCAGCACCATCTGAATCCTCAACAACATCATCAGTATCATCAGCATCAGCATATTCATCAGCATCATCGTCAGCAGTATCCTCCTCCATCTCCTCCTCCACATCATCATCATCATCATCATCATCATCATCATCATCATCAGCAGCAGCAGCATCATCATGATCATCATCATCATCATCAGCATCATCAGCATCATCATCATCATCATCATCAGCATCAGCATCATCATCGTCATCATCATCATCAGCATCATCATCACCATCATCATCATCATCATCATCATCATCATCAGCAGCAGCATCATCATCATCATCATCATCATCATCATCAACATCAACATCAACATCAACATCACCATCAGCAGCATCATCATCGGCCGCATCATCATCGGCAGCAGCATCATCATCATCATCATCAGCAGCAGCAGCATCGCCATCATCGTCAGCAGCAGCATCATCAGCATCATCAGCAGCAGCATCATCAGAATCAGCACCAGCATCATCAATATGACCAGCATCAGCATCATCATCAGCATAACCAGCATCAGCATCATCACCATCATCAGCATCGGCATCATCACCAGCATCAGCAGCGGCATCAGCATCACCATCATCAACAGCATCATCAGATTCAGCATCATCATCAGCATCATCAGCATCATCATAATTTGCATCATCACCATCGTCATCATCAGCAGCAGCATCATCATCAGCATCAGCATCATCAGCATCAGCATCAGCAGCAACATAATCAGCATCGGCAGCATCAGCATCGGTATCATCATCAGCAACATCATCATCAGCAGCATCAGCATCGTCATCAGCATCATCAGCATAATCGTCATCAGCATAATCAGCATCAGAATCATCAACATAATCAGCATCATCATCAGCATCATCAGCAGCAACAGTAGCATAATCATCATCAGCATCACCATCAGCATCAGCAGCAGCAGCATTATCATCATCAGCATCAGCATCATCGGCAGCAGCAGCATCATCACCATCATCAGCATCATCAGCATCAACATCATCATCATCATCATCATAATCATCATCATCATCAGCAGCAGCAGCAGTATCACCATTATCGCCATCATCAGCAGCATCATCATCAGCAGCAGCATCATCATCAGCAGCATCAGCAGCATCAGCATCAGCATCATCATCAGCATCAGCATCATCATCAGCATCATCACCATCACCGTCACCATCGCCACCATCCCCCTCCCGAGAGCTCCAACGAGTCGGTCCAGCCCACCCCTCCCGACGGCGCGGGCAGCGCTGTGCCCCCCGCTGACGGCCGGAGGAACCAGTGGGCGGCCGGCGCGGCGGGCGCGGCTGCGGGCGCGGGGGCGGGCTCCTGGGAGTGGGCGCCCCGAGGGGAGGGAGGGAGGGAGGGGAAGGGAGGCCCCAGACATATGTTGCTCCCATCGCACTTAAGGACCACATCCCAGAAATAATCTCGAGCTCCCAGGAAATCGTCGAGAGGGTGTCGAAAGAGTGTCGAAAGAGTGTCTCCCAGGGCCCGACACGTGAAAACCATCGAGTGTTGGGGTGCGCTCGAAGTTCTTTCTGGCGCTCAAGGCTAAAGTAGTTTGGAACATCATAAACCCAGACTCGGCGGCGACCAAAAGAGGGGGGGGTGAGAGGGCCCTGGCCTGCTGATGCCACTGCGCGCTCCTCCACGTCCCTGATCAGGGCAGCTCGCCTGGGCATCGGTTTTGGATGGGCTGGCGGGGTTGAGCGGAGCGTCTAGAATTCAGAGCCCCTTTCTCTTGATAAGAGGATGTATCAGAAACCATACTGAGTGTTTGGAACATGTTAGCTTGTCGGTGGCATCCTGGGGAGGTTTTTGGTCCTGTGAGGGCCCTCTCAGAAGGCGGCGGTGCTTCTCAGAAGCCCTCGCGCCTTCTGAGAAAATATCGGTGTCTTCGGGGAAGGGGTCCTGGGTCAGAATACCACCCTCCCGGGGCCCACTGCCCACCCTCTCACTCCCATTTCCGTCGAGGGCCGAGGCCTGCAGGGTCGGCGGCACCCGCCGTAAGGCCTCAGCAATGTCGGCGTCTCTGGGGAAGGCTCAGAAAACTTCTCGGAAGGCAGAGGGACACCCGAGCCTTCTTAGAAGGTCCGCCCCCTCTCCCTTCCCCCCCGAGGCTGGCCGCCCGCCGATGGACCCCCTCGCGTCGTGAAATGAACACGACGTACGGTCTGCTGCTATATGTTTGGCCCCTGGGAGCCCTCGCCAGGCCCTGGCGCTGTCAAAGAGCGACTCTATGAAAAGCAGCCCTGGGGAATGTGTCGCGACCTCTAGGTGTCGACGGTGTGCAAAACACATGGCGGCGGGGGTCGAGGAGGGGGAGGAGGGGGAAGGAGGGGGGGGAGGAAGAAGAGGAGGAGGAGGCATAAGAAAAATAAGAGGAGGAAGAGGAAGAGGAAGAGGAAGAGGAATAATAATGATAACAAGAAGAAGAAAAAGAAGTGGAGGAGAAGCAGCAGGAGAAGGCAGAGGAGGAGGAGGAGGAGGAGGAGGAAGAGGAGGAGCAGGAGCAGGAGGAGGGTGAGGAGGAGAGGAACCCTGGACACGAATCGCTGCCGCCGCGCCTGCAGCCGAACTAGCGCCATGAGTAACCTCAGGAGACGCTGGGCTGCTGGACGAGGCTACGTCACCTCGACGCCCGGGACGAATCACGAAGCCGAGTGGGCGCGCGAGGATCAGGAAGGGAAGCACGTCCCAGACAAGCGACGTCCTCATTTGGGCAGGACGGCGTCCCTGGAAAAACCCGACCCTTTCCCCAGGACTGGCTGCTCGCCCTGCGTCGTTCTTGGAAGGCCCCGAGGCCCGGCGAGGGCGCCCCGGGGCCGAAAGTAGCCAAAAACCTCCCGCCCCGATTTCTGTCACGATGCGATCGTGTCTGGGGTGGTGAGCCCCACCGACACGACCCCGCCGCCGAGGGCGAACGCGGCCCCGCCGCTCTGAGGGACAGTGATTGGGGGGGGACTGGCATAGGGGGGGATGCATAGACCTGGAATCGGAGATACGTCGCCGATAGATCGGCGATTGGCCTCTGATGGTGAGTCGCACCTTCCTGGACAGGTTGGGGCTGTCGGTCGGCGATCAATGGGCGATTGGGGGTCGATCATCCCCCCCTATGCCTATCCCCCCCCATCGTTGCCCCCAACGCTCGCCGACGGAAGCACACCGGCGCGGGCACGACGGTGCTCCAGCGGCGAGGCGGGGCGCGACGACAGAGCGACACACAATCGGTGCGCGGCTGCCTCGGGAGGCCGCGGGGGGGGGGCCAAAGCAGAAGCGCCCCAGCCAGGCTTTGTAGGGGGGGGGGAGCACTCAAAGTTCCCTCTCGATGATCCTCCTCCTCCTCCTCCTCCTCCTCCTCCTCCTCCTCCTCCTCCTCGTCCTCGTCCTCCTCCTCCTCCTCCTCATCCTCCTCCTCCTCCTCCTCCTCCTCCTCCTCCTCCTCCTCCTCCTCCTCCTCCTCCTCCTCCTCCTCCTCCTCCTCCTCCTCCGCCCACCACCCAAAGGTCACTCTCGAGGACCCTCAAAACGTGCCCTAGCGCCAGCGTGTGCTTGACCACCGAAGCCCTTCCAGTACGACGCAGGCGGTGCAGCGAGGGCCGACACAGGCTGAGTGGGGCTGCACACATTGGGATGACACACGTCCTGAGGATCATCGCCGCTCCGACGCAGGGTCACCCACGCCCGTGGCCGCACGGAGGCGGAGGACTGGGAGGCTCTTTGGTGCGGGGGAGGGGAGGCGCGCCAGCCCGTGTTTGTGTGTGGGGAGCGAACCATGTCTCCTCCTCCTCCTCCTCCCTCCTCCTCTCCTCCCTCCTCCTCTCCTCCCTCCCCTCCCCCCTCTCCCTCCCTCCCTCCAGGGTTGGAAATAGGTTCAAAAACAGCTTTTGAAAATAGCTTTTCCCTATGATTTCACTTCGTAAACCCTAAACCCGAAGCCCGAAACCCTAAACGCCCCGCCCCGCCCAAAGGTCACTTCGAAGAGGGGCCGCCCGTGGCCCACCAGGGGGGGGCAGGAGCCTGCGCTGCCCTTCTGGGAGCGCGTCTGGGGGCGGAAGGCGCGCCAGCCAGCGTTTGGGGGGCGCGGGCGCTGTGGCCCCCCCGCACCACCTAAAGGTCACTCCGACGAGGGGGGCGGGGCCGCGTCAGGGCACGGGAGGGGTGGTGCACGCGAGGGGTGCGGACACGGGCCGTCGGCCAGGCCGGCACGGTCCTGAGCTCCTCCTCCTCCTCCTCCTCCTCCTCCTCCTCCTCCTCCTCCTCCTCCTCCTCCTCCTCCTCCTCCTCCTCCTCCGCCTCATCTTTGGACGCCCGAAATGGGTACGGAAAGAATGGGTACAATGCCCAACAACAAATGTTGTCCCAAACCAACAAAGGCCGCTGTTGGGCAGGCGGCCTTCTGTCTCGAATGGACACAGGCCGCGGCGGCGTGGACAGCGAGTCCTGTTCAAAATGAACAGGATCCGCTGTTGGGCATTGTACTCTTTCTTTCCGTGCCCATTTCGTTCGTGCAGATCCTCCTCCGTACCCTCCGTCTCGCACTCCTCCCTCCCGCGCCCGTGTCCCCCTGGGTGCCGTGAGGCAGCCACCCACGGGGGGGGGAGCCACGAGACGCACTCGGCCCCGGCCCCCGACGACGCCTGGGGTACATAACGCATGCAAGCATAAGGATCGACCGAGAGCCCCTTTTGAAGAGCAAGCGTTCCTTACTCAAGCCGCTCACTGCAGAGGGACGTGCCCGACTTAACCCCGGACGCGGGCGGCCCTCCTGCTGGCGAAGGCAGGCCTCCCAGAGGTCGCCCTCGTCGTTGCCCAGGCTCTCCCAGGCCACCGCGGGCCGCGGCCGCGGCGTGGCCGCGGGGGGCTCCGGCATGGTCGAGCAGCGGTTCTCCTGGGGCGGGGCCGAGGGGCAGAGGAAGGAAACACCACACGAGCATTGAAATCTGCAGGAAACTGGCAAGGGGAAACTGCAGTCAAAACGTGAGTGAAGAGGACGGGTGGCAAGGAAGGACGCAGGACCCCTGGAGGCCGAAAACGGCATTGTTTGAGCGGCGGGAGGGCAGTGAAAACGGCAAAGGAGGGGCCGCAGAGGCAAGGACAGAAGAGCACCCAAGATGAAGGCGCGCGTCCTTACTAGCACGAAAGTCAGCACGGCTGGGGCCTCACGCTGGGCTTGGCGGCCGCGGTCTGCAGGGTGCGCGAGGCGACTCGGAGGCTCCGTCCTGTAAATCTTACAACCCCGACCCGTCGGGTGGGGCGCACAGCAAGTGTCTTGCAACACCGGCTCCGGCCAGTGTTGGACAGGCGTGCTCCCCAAGTGGACGACGCCTGCGGCGGCACCGACAGCACGTCCTGCCCGAGGTGGATGGGCTCAGCCCTCGGCCTTCGCCCCCCTCTCGCAGAAGAAGAGCAACTGCAGAACAGAAACTTTCGGATGTCCGCGCGGGCTTCTTCGATCGGCGCTGGACCCCCCCACTCTCCGACGATCTGGTTCTGATCACACTCTGGACGTCGTCCCTTACTTTCAGCCTCTGGGCCGTCCCTGGCCCCTGGGAATGTCAGGAACTGATCTGGGGCGGAACGCTGCCCTCGGGGAAGTGGTCGAGGCCTCTGGCATCGCGGCTTGCAAAAACATGTCAGCAAATGTCAGGCCTTACGTTGCATCCTCGGGGGACCTGGTCTGTCCGGTCGCGGCCCTATTCGCGTCGAATCCGTGCGGAATCCACGTCGGACTCGTCGGATCCGTGCCGAATCCGCGCCGAATCCGCGCCGAATCCGCGCCAAATCCGCGTCGAAGCCACATCGAGCCCGCGTCGGGTACCAGAGAAGACACCAATTTTGGGGACAGGCGAGGTCCCCCGAAGGTGCAACGTAACAGGTCCTCCTAATTGGAGCGCGAAGCTCGCCAGGGGCGGCACCAGAGGCGCCACCAGAGGGGCTCAACACAGGTCCAAGAGATCCGCGCGGGCCTTCTTGACGTTTGACCTCCTAGAAATCAAGCAAGCAAAAAGCTGATGTGTACTTATGTCTGTTTCCCTGGAAGGGAAGAGATGGTTTATGGTTGTTAATAATATGTCTGTTGATTTACTGTTGACAAAGTCCCACCACACGATATTGTGGAGAAGAAAAAAGGAAAGAGACCGCAAGCCACCAGCAGCAACCGCAGTCTCTCAATCCTGCGCCCCGAACAGTTCCACGCACGTGGGGCGCCTGGCACAATGTATAGGGCCACGACGTCACTTATGATTTATCTATGCTTATGTTGCTCCCATCGTACTTAAAGACATCTCAGAAACAACTTCGAGCACCCGGAAAACCGTCGAAGAAGTGTCGAAAAAAACAGTCGAGAGAGCGTCTCCCAGGGCCCGACACGTGAAAAGCCTCCAGCTTCGGCGCGTTCTTGGTGCTTGAAGCTCTTCTGGCGGCCAGGGCTAAAGCAGGCTGGAACATCATGAGTCGATGTTGCTATCTCGATAAAGGGCAGCAGGAGAGACCGCGGAGCAGGCGAGCGGGAGGTTGGCGAGCGTGCCCCCGGGGGGGCTGCGCAAGCGCATCCGCATCGGCCCGACCCGCGCCTCGATTTAGCTCAGGCGTGTCCCCCTACAGGGGGATTGCTTGGGGAAAAACAACAGCAAAAAACTCAAAAATGGCTCTTTAATGCATATAAATAAAATTGATATTTTATTTACATGAAAACAAAAAAAACGTACCCTGATTAGTTGTGTTTGACTATGTTTGCGTATTCCCTCTGTGGAGAAACAGGCCCGACTTGAGCCTTGATCCAGAATGGATACAGGGTGACGAGGGAGGCGGAAGTGGCCAACGACGGCGCGTGCGAAGGGGAGGTGGATGATAAGCACAACATTCGGCGGTGCGCACAAGGGGGTGGAGGGAGGGGGGAGGGCTTCTTCGAAGGAGGCTGCTTCTTAGAAGGCGCTGGCCTTACATCTATAGATAAGGCCCGCGCCTTCTAAGAAGCAGGGTTGCTTCTAAGAAGCCATCCCCCCTGCCCCCTCCTCCCTCTGCGCGTGGCTGAAACATGGAGGCCCAGGAAGCTCAGGAGGAGAAATACGACGACGAAGAAGCAGACGAGCTGTGCTGACCAGGGCTGGAGCTAAACAATGTGTTTCGTGTTCGTTGTGTGATCGTTTTATTTCGCTCTGTCTGCCTTCTGCCGTCCCTGCACAACGAAATCAAAACGAAAACGGTCAACAAAATCGCCAGAACACCGTTTAGCTCGAGCCGTGTTCGTGACGCAAGCAGTGGAGGTTCTGTCACGAAGGCGAGTCACATACTCTCGACGGGCACGAAAATTTCCACGTAGTCTGGTGAAGTTCCCAGGGTCCTCAATAAATGTTAGGTCGGGCGTGTCCTCCTACAGGCGGGATTCGAGCGAAATGGAAAGATAACCCAACAAAAGATGCAAACAGTCTTGCACAATATACAAAAGTACCCAGGCAATGTTTGAACTATGTTTGAATATTCCTCCTGTAGAGGGACAGGCCCGACTTAACAATCATGCCACAAAAGCTTTCGGGAAAGTCTTCAACATCAGTCGGGCGACCTGTGAAGCCCCGAAGGACAAACTGCGAAATTGCACCGCGGTGCCAACACGTGTGTTGCGATGGCCACAACCTGGTGCACCGTTCGGCCTGACCCTGCCCCATGGATCTGATGGGCTCTGGCTCTGCATCCAGCAAAGTATGGGACGTCAGAATGCGTCAGGCACGCATGGTGTGGAATGTGCGCGCTGTCTGCCTCGTATGGTGAGCCGATCCGCGCCAGCGGATGTTTTTGCGAACGCCGAACCCACTGGTGAGCGCTGTGCGTATGTGAAATACCAAGGGATGGTAATGCCGCCGTAAGACTCCTGGACCGAACCGTATTGAAAAAGAGACATAGCCAACGCCACGCTCTGAAACTGTGCGCGTGCAGTCATATCAGCTCACTCCATGCCGCGTCATGGTATGACATGTCTAACAGAACATATATGTCATCACTCTCATGCTGCAAACTGCATTAAGCTGTCATGTGCAGGCGACGCGTTGCAATTACTCTTGTTCAAACGCCCGGCACATTGCAGAACAGAGGGGCATGAAAAGAGAGAGAGAGAGAGAGTGAGAGCGAGAGGGAGGGAGGGAGGGAGAGAGAGAGGGAGAAAATAATATATTTGTATATAGACGTATACATATATAGACAGAGAGAGAACAGCATCGTCGACAACAAGAACAACAAAACATCAACAGCAACATCAACAATCAACCCCAACAACCAACAACAAACAACAACAGCAAAAACAGCAGCAACACCAACAAGCAGCAACAACGACGATCACAACAGAGGCAACAACAACAACAAAAACAACAAACACAAGAACAACAAAAACAACAAAACCTTAACAACAGTACACATCACAATAACAAACAAAATAAATGCAACAATGCAGCAGCAACAACAAAAACAAACAAAAAAGCAAAAACACCAACAGCTGCAAAAACAACAACAACAACAACAACAACAACAAACACAACAACAACAACAACAACAACAACAACAACAACAACAACAACACATACAACAACCACAACCACAACAATCATTCCCAACAATCAGCAACAACAAACAACAACAGCAACAACAGCAGCAACAGCAGCAACAACAACACCAACTAACAACAACAACAATCAACAACCAACAACCAACAACCAACAACCAACAACAACAACAACAACAACAACCGCAACAACAGCAACATCAAACACAGCAGCAACATCAACAACAGCAGCAGCAGCAACAGCAGCAGCAGCGACAACAACAGCAGCAGCAACAGAAGCAGCAGCAACATCAAACGCAACATCTGCACGCTCTGCTCTGCTCTGCTGACGCCCGGCTCGCCCTGCCTGCGCAAAACTGGGCCGAGAGCGACTGCCTGCGAAGGCGGCAGACCGCGCCTCACCGTGGTCTGGCACCCGCCCACCGCCGCCTGCCCCGGGGTCGCCCAGCAGGCTGGGACAGGGTGCCAAAGGACCTCGCCTTCTCAATCGAAAAAGATAGAGAGAGACAGACAGAGAGAGAGAGAGAGACATTCAGACAGAGAGAGAGAGGGAGACAGGAACAGCAAAACGAGACAGGGAGAGAGAGGGAGAGAGGGAGGGAGAGAGAGAGAGAGAGCTCGCGAGACACACAGAAGGACAGGCGAAAGAGGCCAGCGAGGGCCCAGAATGTGCAGCACGTCTGGGCGTCTAGAACGCAAGTGCAGGCAGCTGGTAAGGGCCAACCACGGAGTTCCTCCCCCTTACGCTCCTCACCATCGTCATCCTCCACCTCCTGCTCATCCTGCCCTTTGTGCCCTCCTGAGACGTGCTCCTCCTCCTCTTTCTCCTCCGCCTCCTCCTCCGCCTCCTCCTACTCCTCGATCCTTGCTCTGTGCTCAATGATCAATGCTCCTTGCTCCTCTTCAAAACTCGCCCTCGCAATCCTCCTCGTCGTCGTTGCCTCGTCTTCTGCAGAGGGGGAGACCGCGAAGGGGCCGTCCTGGCCGCCAAGATCCTCCCAGGTCGGGGCCTCACTGTCCTCGCAGCCCATGTCCTCCCAGCAGACAGGCGTGGCCTCCTGCGCGCGCGAAGTGACGGGGGCGGAAGGGACGGGTGGGAGGGTGGAGAAGAGAGGAGGCATCAGACGGAGGCACGAGGAGAGGAGGAAGAGGAGGAGGGACGAGGAAAGGAGGGACGAGGAGAGGAGGAACGAGGGACGAGGAGGAGAGGAGGGACGAGAAGAGAGTGAAGAACAAATTACCTAAACACCATCCTTCGAAGTTCCGCGCGGAACCCTTGGTCTGCGCTGGGCCCCCCTGGCGGCGCATCCGGCGCAGGCACCGGCGCGCTGCGCGCAAAAAGGTGTGGGGGCCAGCGGTGATTCAAGAAATCCGCGCGGAGCTCCGAAAGTTATGTCCATGCCGTGCTTCCTTGTTCGAATGATGGGGGGGGAGAGGACGAAGAGGAGGAGGAAGAGGAGGACGGCGACGAGGAGGGAGGACAACAAGGGGGGAGAAACGCGGGCAGGGACGGCACAGGAAAAGGAAGGGCGCCGGGAAAGAGGAGCGGTCTCAACGAAGATTTCCCCATGTCGGCGGCGAGCGAGGGGAGGAAGTGAGAAGGAGAAGGCCTTCTCAGAAGGCGGCGGGGCTTCTCAAAAGCCTCCGGCCTTCTGAGACGTTTTCTTTGCCTTCGGGGAAGGCTTAGCGTTAGGTCGAGCATACAGTAATCAAAAAAAACAAAAATATTCAAACATTGTAAAAAAATCGTCCCCTGACAATCTGAACTAATTCTTGATGTTCCTTCTGTAGAGGGACAGGCCCGATTTAAGCTCAGCAGAGGCCTTCCGAGCCTGCCGAGAAGGTCCGCCCCTGCCCTATTTGCCCCCGTGGCTGGCCGCCAGCTATCCTTCTGGAACCCGAACCAAGGACCAAGAAGGCACGACTCGGGAGGAAAGGCCGGTCCTGGAGCGCGTCTTTCACGACTCGGCGAGGACGGCCGTTGCCAGGCATGCTCCACCCTCCTCTCCCCCGGGGCGAAGAGCCAGGAAGAGCCAGTCCCGGAGCGCGTGTCTCACGATTCGCGACGACGGCCGTTGCCAGGGACGCTCCCACCATCGTGCGCCTTCCTCGTCCTCCTCCTCCTCCTCCTCCGCCTCCCCCTCCTCCTCCTCCTCCTCCTCCTCCTCCTCCTCCTCCTCCTCCTCCTCCTCCTCCATCGTGCTCCCTGCTCCTCCTTGTTGTTCTTTCTCCCTTGGCCCTCCGCCCTGTCTGCCTCCTGCTACCCGCCCACTCACCCAAGGGCTCCTCGGTCGTGCGAGGACCGAACGCCACCGGGCAGCCGGTCGGGCACGGCAGGATGCAGGCGGCGGCGTCCTGCCGGAGGCTGGGGCAAGGGCCACAGACGACTCCGTCCCCTGCCCCCTCATTCTCCCCCTCGTGACCCTCTTCCTTCTTCCCTCTCCTCTCTCTCTCCCTCTCCCTCTCCCTCTCCCTCTCTCCCTCTCTCTCTCTCTCTCTCTCTCTCCCTATCTCTGTCTCACTCTCTCTCTCTCTCTCTTTGCGCTAGCCCGTCGTAGCGCAGCGAGAAAGCGTCGAGTTTGATTATGCTTCCCCCTCCTCTTCCTCCTCCTCCTCCTCCTCCTCCTCCTCCTCCTCCTCCGCCTCCTCCCCCTCCTCCTCGTCCTCCTCCTCATCCTCGTCCTCCTCCTCCTCCTCCCCCCCTCATCCTCGTACTCTTCTCCTTATCTTGGTATTGCTCATCTTCATCTTATAAGTGTTATCAGTATTATTATCCTCCTCCTACTCCTCCTCCTCCTCCTCCTGCTTCTCCTCCTGCTCCTCCTCCTCCCTCCCCTCCCTCCTCCTCCTCCTCCTCCTCCTCCTCCTCCTCCTCCTCCTTCTCCTCCTCCTCCTCCTCCTCCTCCTCCGCCTCCGTTTCCGCCTCCGCCTCCGCCTCCGCCTCCGCCTCCGCCTCCGCCTCCTCCTTCTCGTCGTCCTCCTCCTCATCCTTCTCCTCTTCCTCCAGCTACTCCCCCTGTCCTCCTCCCCTTCTTCCTCCTCCTCCTTCTCCTCCTCCTCCTCCTTCTGCGTCCTCGTCGTTCTGCCACTGCGATCGATGCAAAAGCGTAGGAGTACGCCAGCCCAACGGGCCAGAGGCGTGCTGACATCGCCTGCGAGAGATGCAGAACAGGTCCAGCCTGCGAGCGGGAGAACGGTCCCTGGGGATCCCCTGACGAAGAGCACCCCGAGAAGGCCTAGCTCAGAGACGAGAGGAACAAACAGCTGCACAAGCCCTAGATCTTCGAAGGATCGCGCGCGCGCGGGAGTCCTGCATCGGCGCGGGACGCCCCTCCCCCCGGCGCGCGGAGCGCGCCAAGGGGGCGGCGGAGGCCCAGCACCGATCCAAAAGATCCGCGCCGCCCGTCGAAAAGTTGTGCTTACAATAGTACTCCGAGTTTCTTAGTAAGCGTCGGGGGGGCGTCGCCCCCGCCGACAGCCCCAGATCGACCCCCGTCGCGGGCAGCCACCGCGCGCCGAAGGCGCTCCGACCCGCGTCGCGGCGCGACGACGAGGCGAGGTTGACCCCCGTCGGGGGGTACCCCCACACACACACTTATGGAGAAACCCAGAGTACCCATCGGTCGGAAGAAGTAGGCAGAAGCATGAAGTTGGAAGGCGTTGAAAATACGTTGATTGTCCGCCCGGCCCCTAAACAAAACGGAACAGGTGAAGCCACTCGATCCTCCTCTGTAGGATGTCGCTTGAAAGTAGAATGGGACCTGGAAATACAAACTACCTCTTTCAACGACCGATGGGGAGCTCGACAACAAGAAACCTTCCACAGGAAACCCAACCCCGAGACTCCAGGACGTCCAGTGGTTTGAGGTATGGGGACGTCACGCTTTCCATCGCAGAACCATCGAAACCCACGAAACCCAGGCCACCCTGGAGGCGAGCATGGTGCTTCTTGGCATGGGTTTCCACTGTATGCAGTTGTCTCTCTTCGAGAGATGTGCTTCCAGGAGCGCTCCAGGTGACGCAGGGCGCTCCAGAAACCGGCCGAAAGAGGGTGCCAAGGCAGTCCAATCGCGCTCCAAGACGGCCGAAGATGGCCTTAAGACGGCTTAAGATGGGACGCACAAGGACATGCTAATACTATGTGTTCTCCTCTGAGGCGTGCATCCGACCCGAACATATAGTGTACCCATCTTGTAGTCTATCGTTTCACGAGCGGTGTGGCCAGAAAGCGCTCGCCACGACGCATATACTATCAGATTTCTCGGTGCGCGCGTCGCCCCTGGGGGGCGACGCACACATAGAGTATGCTGGAGTGACGCCGATAGGCGGATCCCAAGACGGCCCAAAAGCGCTTCAAGGCAGCCCGAGATCGCCTCAAGCAGCCCAAGGGGCACCCAAGAGGCCCCCAAGGGTGCGCATTGAGGACACCCAAGGAGGCCCCAAGACGTTAAACCCCATAAATGTACCCAAGTTTGTGTCAACGATTCTCGTGTTCTCGCATTTTCGGATTTCCGTCAGCTACAGACGGCCCAAACGGTCTTCAGGATGGCCCCAAGACGGTCCAAGAGGGCCGCAAACTAACCAAGCTGGCCTCCCAAACGGCCTCATGAGGGCCCAGGAGGGCCCCTTGACGGGCCAAGAAGGCCCCAAGAGAGCCTCAGGCTGGCCCAAGCGGGCCTCTGGAGCTCTGAACGGACCGCAGCGCAGCTCCGAGATGCGTGAGTTGGCTGTGCTGAAGGCCAGACTGGCGCAGGACAAGAGTCTGAAAGTGGTAGAGAAAATGATCATGGCCTTGCGAGAACGAATCAGACTACTGGAGCAGGCTCGAGGAGGCAGCAATTCAAGGACTCGGACACTGACAAGCGGGAAGACGTGAGAGTGCTGCTCAACTTCTCCCACTACATGGCTGGCCAACCCTGCCCTTCCCTGCGCAGGAGACTGTCGCCCCGAAGAAGTCAAAAAGAGCTGGACTGCGAGACAAAGGGAAGATCAACGCGACGGCAACTACCAAGGCCAACGTGACGGCAAACACCTCGAACATGGACGGCGAGGATGACCCTTTCGCAGCACCTGGAGGAGGAGGCGGAGATGGCAGGTGTGGTTGCGAGCCAGACAGCGACCACGAATGGACCATCGGTAGGAGCGACGATCACGGCATCAACATCGGTGCCGCAAATACTGGAGCCTGGCGAGCAGCTGCAACAGATGGAATCTTACATCGGATCCAGGCCCAAGGCCAAGCCGTGTCGCCACGAACCCAGCCAGAACGCCACCCAGGAAGGCCTCTGGGCTCGTGGACAGGGCCTGCTCCGGGACCCAGGTGGGGTCCCGAGCGGAGCTGCGCGAGAGGACTTCGCTGCCCCATCGGCCAGCGCCACTGCCAGGCCTGGCGTGCCCGTCGAGGCAAGGCAGCGAGCCCTCTCTGAGTCCCAGGGAGCTTCCCACCGGTCTCCCCGTCGTGGCGAGGGGTTAGGCCACAGCGGACTCAGCGGACATGCGAGGTCGGTGCCAGACGGGCCCCTCACGGCGAGGACGGAGCCAGATGGGACCCACGCGTCAGCCAGCACCAGCGACCAGAGGATCAACGAGACGGAGTCGAGGCCTGTACCTCACGGGCCCCACGACTACACCATTGCGCAGCAGAACGACGCGTCGGAGCTGGGGGAACTCATCGCCGAGATCTTCCTGCGTGCTGCCAGGCATGCCGCCCTGGCATGGCGAGACACTCGTACTCAGGTCCGATCTTGGGCCAAGAAGGCATCGGACGCATCCATGAGAGCGGCACACCGATACCTGAGCTCCGAGGAACGGGTCGACACCAGTGACGGCTGCATGGACCCAGACACGAAGAAGTGGGAGATGGATCCGCAAAGAGGCATCTAACTACGACGGCGGCAGTGGGCGCGACGCTGGACGGCGCACAGGGAGTCTGCCAAGACCGAGCTGCCGCAGGCCATGCGCGACCTGAGAGCCAAGGCCATGGAGGACCTCACGGGCCGACCCTTCCACACCATCGAGAATTTGGAGATGGCGGTGAGCAGCTTTCAGTCAGGGGCGGGGCTGGGAGCTGACCTATGGGCGCCAGACCAGCCCAGGGCGCTCAGCCCGCTGTGCAAGGAATCTCTGCTCATCATTCTGAACATCTGCGAGCGGCAGTTCACTTGGCCTCATCAGATCATGCAGATGTGGTATGCCTGCCCCCAACAGGAGAAAAACAGATCGCTGGAGAAGAACGTCCCATTGGGCTGATCCCAATGGTGATGAGGGTCTGGGGGAAAGTGACAAAAATCCGATTAACTGAATGGTGCGATCGAAAGGCGGGCTTCTGGGACGCAGCAATGCGAAAGAGTTCGGCGTTGCAGTCGGCACGACTCACACCTGTCCTGGATGAAACCCGAGCCAACCTGGACGAAGCCGGCCAAGCTACAATCTTCCAGGACTTAGAGAAGTTCTACGGTTCGGTGGACTTAGGGATCCTAGCAATCCGAGCATCCGAAGTAGAGTACCCCCCAGTCGAGCTGTACATGTGCATAAGGACGGACCTCTGCCCCAGACTGGTCAAGTTTACTAAGATCTTCAGCGACCTGATCATCCCTGGCAATGGCATGGTCCCTAGGCGTGGTAAAGCTAATCACGGAGCGCGTGCCCTAAAGATTCTTTACCATGTAATAGAAGCTGTGCACCTAGCAGTTCCCATAGCGAGGTTGCGTCAATTCGTGGACGACATCACGGTCCGCGTAGAGGGGCCCGACGATGCGGTTGGGGCTGCGCTGTCGAAAGCAGCGGGCGCGCTGGCTGGAGGCTGCCTGAATGCGAGGCTCAAGATCTCCACCAAGTCCACGATCTTGGCCCAGAACCCCCAGGATGCCGTAGAGGTTGAGAGGGCCCCAGCAGAGCTTGACAGTACCTTCAAGCGAGGCACTGAGATGAAGGACCTGGGGACCGACAACACCATGGGGCAGCGCAGGTCCAGGATAATCTCATCCAGGAGGAGTAGGTTGGGCAAAATTCGGGCCTCCAGGGCAGGTCTGTTTACTAGTCTTGGGCGTGCGCGCAGAAAGAAAAGCAAGCTGTTGTAGAATGCGAACGTGAGGGCTAAGATGTCCTACGACACCCCCTCGTTTGGCCCCCCCCCGCGACCGAAGTCCGAAAGCGGAGAGCACTGGCCGCGGACCTGGCTGGTTTCGGAAAGAAAGGCCGATGCACGGCTACAGTGAGGGTGCGGCCGCAAGAAACCCTCGCAAGAAACCCAACCCTGAAAACCCGCGCGCGAAGTGCGCCTGAGGGGAAACCGGGAGCGCCCTGAACGCAGCAGCTTCTTCAACGGCTGCGGGAAGCCACCGCGCAGCGCGCGGAGCGAAGAAACCCAGGATACCCTGACGAAAAGCACATGGTTTCTTGATGCGCGCCCCCACTGTATGGTCATGCTGCTGATGTATGAGGACGGGGGCCCCTGGGCTGCGTGCGTGAAGCGCCAGACCAAAGCGTGGCTTGGTTCTTGGGCCAACGGCTCCACCCTCAGGCAGCGGGTTCGGCGGGGATGGACCTTCGTGGGTCCCGGAAAGGGCAGGGTCGTCTTTTTCACCGTTTCTGAAAAAAAAAGTCCCTTGAGAATGGAAACGCAAAAAAACGGCGACCCGAAACGGCAACAAAAACGGCTCCAAGATTGGAGCTGGAGCGGGAACCCGTAAAAGAACGGCGACGGAACCAGTAAAACAACGACGTCGGAATCGGCAAAAAAAACGGCTAAACGGAACCGGTGAAAAAACGGCCCTGTCGTTTCCAGGGCCCACTAAGGGATGGACGGCCACCAAATTTGACCTCGCTCGTTTGAAACCCCGTTCCCGATGGAGAGCTGTGACAGGGCCTATGGGGGCCACGCTGCTCACCCTCCGGTCCCTGGGATGGGCTGGGGCTGAACCCGGCGTGTGGGAGGACCCCGACTGTGGAGAATGGCGGTTCAACCCCGACCTGTCCGATGATGCCGCCGAGATATGTAATGCCTTGGCCCAGTCAGTACCCCAGCACAGTGAAGAACCAGCACAGTGAAGGATCGTACCTGGCGAATGGGGGTGACCTCACCATGTTGCGTTCAAATGTCAAGCGGATGCACAAGAAAGACATGTTCCAGGAAGCGGAAGTCCTGGAGGGGATTGCCTGTGCCACAATTTGGAATGGAGATCGTCCGCGGAGAACTGGATATCAGACCCAGGGCCTGTGTACTAGGTGTGGTCTAGGGGCCCCTGATACCACCCGCCACAGAACCTATGAGCGCACGTGTCTCTAGCATCGATGGAGCACCCATGGGTCACTAGGACGGTCCACCTCTACGAGCGAGCGATCCGCGACCTCGACCAAGGGGTAAACGCCTCCCTGTGGCTCCGAGGAATCGCCCTTTTCTCCTGGAATCCTGTGCCCCCTCCACCAGAGTGGGGGGATGTGAATGCCTGGCGTGTAAAAGCTGTCAATACCCCGCCCCCAATTCGTCGATCCCAGTGGAGTGGTGACCCCAGGCCAGCGAGTGGAGGCGAGAGCTTGCTTCCTGGACGGATCTGGCCCGTCCTCTGATTTGCGCGTGGCTCCTGTGGGCTGGGGAGTGTACCTCCAACTGGGACCGACTGGGCCGCCTGCTCCCCGTGCCTCCGAGCACTCCCCTCCCCTTTTAGGATGGATTGGGGTGTTGATGGCCGTTCGATTGTCATAGCAGCAGAGATGGCTGCGCTGTGGTGGTGCCGCTTTGGTTGCAGCGAGTCAGAGATGCTGCCAGAGCCCGCCCAGGGGTGGTCACCCTCAGGAAGTGATACTCCCATCTCGATGCTCAGTCCCACCTCCTTTGTTCCCAGTCCCTCCTCGTTTACCGTGGTCATGAATTAGCTGACGCCTATGCCCAGCGAGGGGCGGAGGAGGCTGCAGCGTCCATCAGGGCTGAGGTGAGGGCCCTTGGCGTGGCGGACGCCACGGCGACGTTGATCCATCCGCGCCGGGCAGCGGTGGCCATGGAGTGCGCCGCACAGGACCGCGACCCCTGCTCCAGGGCTCCCGAGGGGGGAGAGGGGGGGCAGCGTCCAGGCGTGCAGTCGAGCTCGAGCGTGAGTCGGGCCACAACATGGGGAGGATGGCCAACGGGGAGTGGTTCTGCCGTCGGTGCCGTCTTGGGCCGCCTCCTGGGTCTTCCTTGGTCGATTGGCTCGGGCTCGAAGATCATCGCTGCAAGGGCGACCCCACCCAACGGCAGCTGAGCGAGAGTGATAATGTTGCTCCGATCCCCCGCCCCGTGACCACTGAGCTGCGCACTGCCAATAAGCAAGTGCACCCCACCCACAGCGTGGCCATGCGTAATGGGCAGGTCTGGTGCTGGAAGTGCGCGTGCATGGGCACTGTGGTGAACGGGGGGGGTAGACTCTTGCTCCTGGCTGAACGATGCCGTGGTTGGAAAACCCCCTCGGGAGAGAATTACTTGAATCGATTGCGCAAGGGGTTCCACCCAAAGGCGATAAATGGCCGAATGAGAAGGGAGCAGGGCGCCTCCGTGTTGAGGCAGGCTCTTGCGTGGTCAAATCATGTTTGAAACCCAAGTCTCGGCGATACTCTGCTATCGAGAGCCGCCCCCCGAGGGGGGGGGGGCGTAACTGTCCAGCTGTGGCCTCGCTGCTGACTGGCACCCATCAGCATTCTCCCAGCATTATCATCCTCCTCCTCCTCCTCCTCCTCCTCCTCCTCCTCCTCCTCCTCCTCCTCCTCCTCTCTCCTCCTCCTCCCCTCCTCCTCCTCCTCCTCCTCCCCTCCTCCTCCTCCTCCTCCTCCTCCTCCTCCTCCTCCTCCTCCTCCACCTCCTCCCTCCTCCTCCTCCTCCTCCTCCTCCTCCTCCTCCTCCTCCTCCTCCTCCTCCGCCTCCTCCTCCTCCTCCTCCTCTCCTCCTCCTCCTCCTCCTCCTCTCCTCCTCCTCCTCCTCCTCCTCCTCCTCCTCTCCTCCTCCTCCTCCTCCTCCTCTCCTCCTCCTCCTCCTCCTCCTCCTCCTCCTCCTCCTCCTCCTCCTCCTCCTCCCTCCTCCTCCTCCTCCTCCTCCTCCTCCCTCCCCTCGGGCTACACTCCCCACCTGCATGCAGTCCTTGACTGACGCCACAGGTGGAGAGAAGGCCCTCGGCGTCGCCCTCGGAAGCAGCCAGGTTGCGACCTGGCGCATGCTTCGGTGGGGCACATGCTGCGGCAGCTGCCATCAACGCACTCGTCCCCAGATGTGTCCCTAGCCTGTTCCGCCCATCCTGCCCTGCCCCAGTGGTCCCAAGTCGCTTCAATCCTTGCACTCCGATATATCCTTCTGCTGACCTCCGGCCTCCTCCGATCTCCTCCCCTACGATCTCGGCATGTCCGATCGCCTCCCCTCCTCCCATCCGATGGTCTCCGTCCGATCGCCTCCCCTCCGACCCATCCCCACCGATCTCCTCCCCTCCGATCCCCGATCTCCTCCCTCCGATGTTCGGCTTCCCCTCTGACCTCCTCTCCCCATCCACCCTCCCTCCCCACACCTCCTCCCCCCAGCTCCTCCCGCATTCGCCGCCCTGCCCCTGGCCCGCGCACACCCGCCGAGTGGTCTGCCAGGCAAGCGACGGGTCATGCACCTGGACGTGGCAAGAATGCCTCCGAGCGCTCACGCCCTCGATTTGTCATTGGCGAAGTCTGGGGCGCCGTGTGAACGCTTCCTCGAGCAGGCGAACGGCCAACAAGTAGACGTTTGAACCAGTTCTGAGGCTTCGGTGCGGGAGAAATGGCGGACTGACGACACTGGTCCAGCGGCCCCCACGGCACTCCGTTGCGGCAGCGAGCTCGGGATGCGATGCACGCGAATTGCGCACATGCACGGGGAGAGTCAAGGAGGCAAAAGAGAGGCGGCCACGAAGCCGACTCCTACACACAGTTGTCAGAAAAGCAGGTGTTGAACGGAGGCATGTGCAGACGTGGCATTCAGAACGAGCTTCGCCCGCCAATGACCTGCGACGTACAAGCTAGACAGTACATCTACAACACCACGTCACGGAGTGTGCTCTGCATGGATGCAAAGCCCGCGATTCCCCAGACTGGGGCCAGACTTGACGGCTCCCTTGTCCCGGGGGCGCGCAAGCATGGATTAGCGATCCATGGATTTGGCGCGCGATCGCCAAATCCATGGACTGGGGGAAGTGCTCTCCCCAAAGTGCGGCCAATGCTGCCTCGCTCGGGGGCGGAAATCCACTATTTCCCATGGAAACGGGACCCGTCGCTAATCCACGCCCCCTTGATCTCAAGTCGGGTGTGTCCCTCTAAAGGAGGGATATTAGATAATCCGGGGGCGATGTTGTGACCATCTTGGAACATGTCTTCAATATCTGTGGGGCGTTCTCTATACCTCGTCCAAAAAATCCACCTGCAGGAGGACACGCCCGACCTCCTCCCGGGGTCCATCCTCACCCCGTGGTCGAGGCGGACCGAGCCGTGGCGACCAGGAAGCCTCCGGGAGGCCCCCGCCCCCCCCCCCCCCCCCCAAAAAAAAAAGCGGAGCGCCGCCGGGGAGGGCCGCCGTGTGCTCTCGACGGGAGCCTCCTCCGAGCGCGGGGGGGGGAGCCCGGAAGCAGAGCCGGACGGGGCAGGATCGGCTACGGCAGCCCACCGGCAAAATCGGGTCGCATCGGACTGTGCGCCGCCTCGGGCCGTCTCGGCACGGAGGCGACACCGAGTCGGACCGGCTGCACCAGGATGCACAGCAGCGCTACGTGAGCGCGTCGGGCCCCATCGGATCGGCGAGAGGAAATCCACCTCGAATCGGATCGGGCCGGCCGGAGCCCACGTCGAAGCAGATCGGTCGGATCCAAATGACCCTGCGGGGTCGGCTAGCAGGGGGGGGGGGGGGCGGTCTTCTCTGAGAGCCTGCAGCAGGGGGAACGCGGTCAATCCCACCAGCCCTCGGGGCCAGGTGCCTGAATGAGCTCATCGACACTGGTTCCCCTTCGGGGATCGGGGGCGCGCAAAAATGGATTAGCGATCCATGAATTTGGCGCGCGGTCGCCAAATCCATGGACTGGGGGAGGTGCCCTCCCCAAAATGCGCCGGTGCCACCTCGTTCGGCGGCGGAAATCCGCGATCTCCCATGGAAACGGGATCCGTCGCTAATCCACGCCTCCTTGATCCATGGTTGCGATCGCCTGAGGGGACTGACCTACTCCTCCCTAGTGGTCTACTGCTCCCCCATGCCCTCACCCCTGGGTCTGGATGGGGGGGGAGCGCGGGGCGTTAGAGCGTCCAAGATGGCCCAAGATAGCCCGAAGAGGGCATCGGATGGCCCAAGATGGCCTCCAAGATGGCGAAAGCTAGCGCAAGCTGGCTGAACACAACTTACATGCCTCCAAGAGGTCCCAAGACCACTCCAAGACGGCCCCAAGAGGCCATGGAGCGCCCCAGGACCCACGAGAGACCAGAATCAGTTGAAACAGAAGGTTTCAGTATGTGCGTTGGCTCCTTGCCAGTTCGCTTGCGAGGAGTCTTCGAGGCCTCCAGATGGCCTTCAGCATCATCCACGAGAGCCCTTAGAGGGAGCCACGAAGGGTCCAGGACGGCTCTGTGCGCACATCGGAGCGCTCCAAAAGCGTCCCGAGAGGGCTGCAAGAGGCAGCGTGTCAGACAGTATAGGGACAGCATTCACTCAGGCCGCCCCCTTCGCTCACGGCAAAAATCGTCAAAACAGCATGAGGCGTTGAATGTGTTGGTCTCTCTCAGGGGCATCCTTGGAAGGCTTTGAGCCAACATGGCACCAAGGATGGCTTCAGATAGATCGAGATGGCCTCAACGATGGTGCATGGTGCAAGGTGGAAGAAGATTGATGGGTCGATGTTCCACAACCGCTGCCATAGGTAGGAGAGGGGGGAGGAGGAGGAGGAGGAGGAGGAGGAGGAGGAGGAGGAGGAGGAGGAGGAGTAGGAGGACGAGGAGGAGGAGGAGGAGGAGGAGGAGGAGGAGGAGGAGGAGGAGGAGGAGGAGGAGGAGGAGGAGGGGGAAGAGGGAGGAGGAGGAGGAGGAGAAGGAGGACCTCCACATCCTCCCTTTTCCCCCGTGCTACATATGGTAGTGGTGGTGGAAGACTGGCCCATCAAAGATGGCTCAACGTTGCCTCCAGTTTGCCTCCAAGGAGCCCCAAGACGGCCCCTCAACGGCTCCAAGTAGCCACAGAGCGTTCCAAGGCCGCCCCCGAGAGGACAAAGATCACCACCCAAGGTTTGTCCATGTGTTGTGTTTCTGGCCTATTTCACTTCCGACGGACCACTGAAGGGACCGAGGGACACAACAAAAATACACACACATCCCAGGATTCCCATACCTTTCCACATGTTCTGGCGTTTCGTCTTCCCCCGCACTTCGAACAGTTTCCCACGTTCTCCTGGGAGTCGCCGACGAAGTGTGTCTGGGTGTGCGTGCTTTCCCCACTGACGCTGAGGCCTCAAGATTGCCCCAGGACCCACGACCGCCCAGGAGTCCCAAGAGAGGCCCCAGCAAAAGGCACCAGAGCAGAACGGCCAGAAGACGGCCCGAGGAGGCGAGCGCTCGGGCTGCAGGAGAAGCAGCCGCTGGCTCGCGCAGCACCGCCTCTTCTCCTGGACGGCCTCGAGGATGGCCCCATGGACCTGTGTTGCTCCATGTCGTACTTGAGGACCACATCCCAGAAATAATATCGAGCACCTGGAAACTGTCGAAAGAGTGTCGAAACAGTATCGAAAAAGTGTCGGGCGAGTGTCTCCCAGGGCCCGACACGTGAAAACCCTCGAGTGTTTGATTACTTTTCTGGTGCTCGAAATTCTTTCTGGCGGTCAAGGCTAAAGTAGGTTGGAACATCATAACCATGGCCCCAAGGGGGCCCGAAAGGCCCCCGGGAGGGCCACAAGTCGGCCCCGAGGGGACTTCGGACGGCTCCCAGAAGGGCCCGAAAAGAGAGCACCAAGACGGCTCAACGAGGCCTCCACCCCTTGCTGGCCTATCCGTTTCACCGCATGCTTGCATCTTTCCCTTCTCCCGACAGCTCGCCCAGGCATCCTTGCTGGAGGGGCCGGACGCGAAGAGACAAGCATTTGGAGAAGAAGAGAGGAGTGGGACGAGAGAGGGGCGGAGGGAAAGAATCATCAGACGAGGCGGCGGAGGCAAAGGGCGAGGACTGAAAGGAGCGGTGTTGCATCGCCGCATGGTGGAGCATGGGTGTCGTCCCTCCCCCCCTTTTTGTTGCCTCCTGTCTCCGCGCGTGCATGCTTCCGCATTGGTCTACTCACCGCAGCCGTCGGCACGAAACGGGCATTTTCCGAACGAGTGCCCGTGCGCGGATGAAGCAACGAGTGCTCTGACTTCCGATGCGTTGCCTCGAGTTTCGTTGGAAAGGTCCGCGAAGACAAGAGGACTTACAGCAGGCGGGCGATGCCACTGCTGCCTGCTCCTTTTGCACGTGAACAAGGCTGACTCTGTCCTCGGTCCACACGATACTGTAATGAAGGAAAGCCCGAAAATATGAAGATCGGGCACCAAAAATAAAGATAACGTTCACGCCGAACTGAAGGCAATGAACTCCTTGTCAAGCGAAGCCCGGCGCTGTAGGCCAAGACGAACGCCCAGACGGCCGGAAGGCCGCTGATGAACATGCAGGAGAAGAACTCCGCCAAGGACAGGAAACAAAAGAGAGACGTTGGCCGTGGACTGCTTTACCGAGACTCAAGCGACCGGCGACTTACACAAGACGCAGGGCTCGGGGTGCCAACGCTCTAGAAGAAGTGCGTGCCAAGGCCACCAGCTTCACGTCGAAAGCGCCGGCCGGGGAAAGGATTACCCACCTAGCCCGCGGACGCCAGCACGATGCGGGTGCTGAGATGAAGCGGCGTGCAAGTAAAACCATCGCGAGCAACTTTTGACGTTACCTGCTTGGCTGGGGCGTGGAAGCAGAGCGGCCCTCCGGGGGTGGCTTTAGGTCGGACCTGTCCCCCTACAGGGGGATTTTGGACGAAAAATAGAAAATACTCAAAAAATGCTCACAAAATGCCCAAAATAGTCCCCAGACTAGTTTTTTGACTATTTCTGAGTGCTCCCCCTGTAGAGGTCCGACTTCAGGGTGGCTGCAACTTTCCGCCAGCGCGCCGCTGCTCACGGCATGCCCTGCCTACGACGGCTCGGG